CTTGTTATTATGCTCTCACCATATGTTGGGATAGATAAATATAAAATAGATTGTTCTACCCTGTACAATGCATGTATTTCCTTCTTCTATAACTTTTTTTAAACATTCAGACTCTGACTCTGTGATATAGAATATTTATAAGTTTCTTATATTCTAAGGATGGAAAATAGCCTCTGTGTACCTGAAGGCTTAAATACTCAAAATCAAAGATTTAAGGGCCATCAAAAATCTTAAGATTTTAGCAGTGAAGCAATGAGCTTATTGAAGATTTTCTTTACTGAAAAAGTTACATACTAAGCTAAGAATGGTATCTGTGAGACTAAATGCCAAGAGTACTGCTGTCCTTAGCAGTCAAATTTATTTGCCTTTTTTTTAAAGTAGTCATGTCAAATGAGCAAGGATTTAGTGACGAGATGTCACAGAGTAATCAGTGATGGAATTAAGCAAATGGTGAGGTATGGAAGTTGATGAAGAACTGTGCTGGCCACCTTGGTGATATAAAAAGCACAGGGAACAATATTCAATATCTTTTAATAGCCTATAATGAAGAAACTAGGAAAAGGAAATACACATTTATCTGAACCACTATGCTGTATACCACAAAACTAACATTATAAATCAACTATACTTCAATTAAAAAAAAAAAGCCTTGAGGGCTGTGAGACTGTGCAAAGAGGAGCTTAAGAAGAAGGCAGAAAATGGAACCTGGACAGCGGCCTGCATCAAGAATCAAAGAAGGAAGTAGAACGAGAGACCCTTAAGAAAAGATTCAAGAGACAAAACAGAAAATAGACCTAAGTGTGTCATAGGCTGTGGCCTAAGTTTTTGTAAGAAGCTCTCAACATCACACACTGGGGAGAGACAGCAAGTCACTAATTCTTTCTCATGTTCTTTCTGTTGTAAAAATAACACTCACACAAACAAAAGTAACAAATTGAGTGTAGACATGTATATCATAAAATGAGAACACTTCCTCCCCCATAATCCTTGTCTCCTTCTAGAACATTTCAAAGCACAGACTGACTCAGGGTTGTGAACAGAACATATACTATTACACCTCTTCCTCCCTCAAACCTCATTAAAGTTATAGTCATGGAATAAAGGTGGTTTAAATCAATAATAAAGAGAATGGTCAAAGACATGAGAGAACTCAACACATTTTTGGAAAGTGGAAAGCAAATGAAGAAACTGTAAACTGATAAAGCAGGATGGAGAAGCCTCAGTCTAGACGAATAAAAGCCGATGGATGGTGGGAAAGACAGAGTGGATGAGTTAACGGCCAATGTGGAAACCAAGATGCTCTGAGGAAATTTCAGATACAATTGAGCACTGGAGAGAAGCATAGGCCTGAAAGTTGGGATTAACTGAAAAACCCACTGGGGGCATAAAGAACCCCAACTCCTCCCCTCCATCCCCAAGCAGAACTTCAGGAAGACTAGCGTGTAAACTTCCAGGCTTTCTGGAGTCAGAGTCTCCAGAATAGCCAGTGTCCTACCTACTCACCAGAAAGCAAACCCCTGGTCCACAAGCCCAGAGTTCCTAAATACCTTTTTATAACTTCATTCTTAAATATCAAGAGACTGTCCAAGGATTATCATATATTTGATTAATTTAATTAGCAAAAGAGGAAAAAGAAAAAGTCAGGAATGAGAAGAGAATTTTTTAAAAGCATAGTCTTGCAGAGATCCAAGAAGATATTAATACCCATAAACAACAAGAATTGATGCTTTAAATTAATTTCAATTTAATTGAAAAAGTGACCATCAGAGAACAAGAACAAACTTGGAAGAGAAAGTCAAAGAAATCACCCAGAAAGTACAACAAAAAGCCTAAAAGACAAATGGAGTTTAAGGAGAACCATCAATATCACCCCTCTTTCCCACTCGAGTTTGAAACCAACTGAAATAATGGACCAGGGAAGTGGACAGAAGGAGTAACAACATCTGTGATGCTACTGAAAAAAAGGCTGCACTGGACAATGCAGCTTGGAAGCTCTGAAGTGCTTCCTGGCCCTCCACCCTGAGCTGGGCAGACTTACTCACCCTGTCCCCGGCTGCGCACCGGGGCCCTGCAGGAAGCCCCATGCTGGAGGGTGGGAACTGATTGTAACTCATCTTCTCCACAGGCTGGCAGATGCCCAAAGAGAAGGCGCCCAGGCACACAAGCCCTGCTCCTTCCTCTAAACTCACCAGCTGGACAAGTCACTTTGTCCTCCCCCCAGGGAGAAATGAGTAAGGAGACAGAGAGAGCCAGGAGTGTTACTCTCATGGAATTTCTTCTTCAAGGAAGAAAGTATTAAAACTATAAAAGAGAAAATGTAAGGGACATGGAGGATTGATTCAGAAGGTCCCAAACCTGACTAAACAGAACTCCATAAAGAACAAAAAAAAAAGTGTGGAGAGAGGAACATACGAAGAGAACATCTCAGTGCTGAATGACAGGAGTTTCCAGGTTGAAAAGGCCCACTGAGGGCTGAGCAGGACTAACTTTTCAAAAAATCCTAAATCCATCATTGTGATATTTCAGAACATCGAGGATAAGGGAAAGTTTCTAGAACCTCTCATGTAGAGGGGAAAAAAATGTGAAATGAACACAAAAATCAGTTGTCAGGGAATCAGCCAGACATCAGACTTTCTGCCTATAACACTAGAAGCCAAAGACTGTGGAGCATGACCTTCAGTTTTGAGGGAAAATCATTTCCAACCCAGAATTCTATAATCAGCCAAACTAGTTAGCCAAGTGTGAAGACTGAATAAAGACATCTTAACACACAAGATTCAAAAACATATCTCCCATGGACCCTGAAGGAGCTACTCAAGAAGGGACTGCAGCAATGAGAAGGGATGGACCCAAAAAAGAGAAAGCACGGCATCTAGCAGAGCAGCGTGTCCAGGCTAGGAGGGCACAATCCAGCTGTTTCCTGTTGCACTAAGAGGATGGAGGGCCATGGAATGTACCCCTCCCCCAGGAAGGTGGACAAGTGAAGGATCAGGTGGAGCGAGTCTGAGCGTGGAAGACATTCAGTTACAGTAAATGCACCTGGAAGCAAGTAAAATGAGAAAACGCCAGACTTTGCTCTAGCCACATCCTTCACTGGCACAGCAGTTGTGCTGTTGGATCAGAGATTATAAAATGCAGACCTGGCCCAGTCTTTAGATGTGCAGTTAACTGGATGACATTGATGTTTACTGTTTCCAGTTTTTAAGAATCAATGTCTAGCTATACTATACGAGACATAACTATAGTTACAAAACAGAACTTTAATGTTTTCATCTTTGTCTCTATAAAAGGACAGGTGCTGTGGACAGAGACTGGGAAGTAGGAGGGGAGGAAATGGGCAGGGCTGCAAATATCTCGTAAGAGAGAACACCAGTGACCTTGGGCGCAAGAAGTGGCAGGTTGCTCCTTGAAGTTGCACAGATTCACCGGAACCATGTAGAACCATGATGGGAGCTGGGCTGAGGGCAGTGAGGTGTGAATTAAGTTCTCATCCTCCATAATAAGAAACCTTTGAGGAACCATCTAATGTTGGTTGGTAGGTCAATAAAGGGTGACATACTAAGCTGCCTCACTCAGTTGTGCGGACTTTTCATTGCACCCCTCCAGGGGACTCCATTCTGGGCATGGTCACTGGAGATCTGTTTAATTGTTAAGGGAATGTCCATAAAGTGCCTTGAGGATGGCATGCCTTTCTCTATTTCTCACGAAGCTGGCAGTCGGCTAGCACAGAACTGGTTGTACAGGCATGTAGGGCACCACCAGGAGAACAGAATGCGTTAGAAGAGACCACTCTGGGGTTGTGCTGTGCAGCCTGGGAGGGAGAGCGGAGGAGAGGGTCCAGCAGAGGGCTACTGCTTTTCAGTCTCTTCTCTGGACTATTTGACTTCTAAAAATCATGTGCACATATTTAATTTTAAAAATTGAAAGCAATAATTAAAAACAAACTCACACAGAAAGCCCCAGACTGTCTAGCAGCCTTTTTTCGCTTACTCCTTTCACGGTGCAAATAAAAAGGTCTGCAGCAGCTCCACCAGCGGCTTCCGTGGGAAGTCCACCAGCCCCTCACCCCGCGCCTCCCGAGCCCGCGTGGGGCGTCCCTCCGGCGAGGACCCTCCACCGCAACCTGATCCTCTGAAAGCGCTTGGCTTTTGCTCAGCTGGTCGCCCCCGTCTTTCATGCCCCTCAGAGCAGCACTATGGCTGCTTCGGCAAATTTTCCCTGGACGTTAGAACGTTCTGGAGACAACTTTTAATTCAGTGAACAGATATCCCTGTTCCTAGCGGTGTACGACCGCCCCTCCACGGGAATCTCTCACCTGCTCCGAGCCTCTGTGGACCCCGAATTCCGGCAGTGGTGCCCAGGCTTCTCTCCGCCCCCGCTTTCCCGGGTTTGGACGCGGTTCTCAAGCTGGCGGCCTACTAGAAGCGCCAAGACCGGAAGTGCCGTGAGGGCTGGGCCCCACCCCCAGCCCGGGTTTGGAATGTGCAGCCACGGGAGAGTCCAGCGTCTCTGTGGTAGAAACGCTCTCCAGGTGATTTTAATGTGCAGCCCGGAGAACCACTGCTCTGCTCTCCCTAGGTGCCGGGGAACAACCCCCAAATTCCTGGTCTTTTTACTCTGCGGAGTTGTGTGACTTTCTCCCTCTCGTTCCAGATCGTGCAGCCCCTCAGACTGCAACCAGATTACGAAGGAACATTCTTTCCCTTACTTCTCCGTGTGTGCCCACAAACGCAGGCCTTTAAAAAGTGGCTCATGCCACACACATTATTCTGCATTTTGCTTTTCATTTGATTTTTTTTATGCCTGTAAGATATGATCTAAGAATATGATCTACCTCATACTCATAGACCACATCATATTCCTTTATTAAGCCCATACCGTAATTTGCTTAATATTGTTCTGTTAATGTCATTTGGGTTTTTCCCTAATACTTCACTATAGCTAATTATGCTGCAGTGAACATCCATGTGGATATGCATCCTTCAAAACTTGTGCAAATATTTTCAGAGTGGAATTACCAAGGTCAAAGGATACGTACATTTAAAATTTTGACAGGTATTGCAAAAATGCTCTCCAATTAAATGGTGTGATCAATTTATTTTCACACCAAGTTTGTTAAAGCGTCCCCTTCCCACACTCTTACCAACACCAAATATCATCACGTTATTAATCTTTTTACCATTTGCTAATCTGCTAGGCAAAATAAAAAATGGTATTGCCTTGTTTCAGTTTTCATTTCTCTGATTACTGTGAGGTTGAACATCTTTCTGTCTCTTTGTTAGGACTTCATATTTCTTCTGTGAATGGCCTGTTGAATAAATTTTGAGGACAGTTTGGAAGATGCAATGGAAATCCTCCCTATTTCTCTCTCTACCTCCCCCCCCCATTATAATAGATTTAGAATATTATCCATTTAATTCTTTTTAAATTTGTTTGTCTTTTTTTTAATTTAATTCTTGATTTACTCAAAAGAATGGAGGGAAGTAAAGTATGCACAAATCAAAATTTGAGAAAAGCATAATGAGATTGAGTGAAGATTTCAAATGTGTTTTTAGGAAGAGCACAGATCTGGGAATGAGACAAATCTGATTCACATCTGAGTCTGCCTCTGTCTAGCTGGGGGACTCTGGGGATTTTACTTTCCTCCCTGAGCCCTGCAGAATGGGAATAAGAAACCACTTTATCTAATTGTGGCAGTTAGATAAGATAATGTGCAGATCCTGGCACATAGTGCAGTACTCAATATGTGGGGGTTATTATTATAATGCTTTATAACATTTGAATGTTGGTATTTTTCTAGACCAGGAATCCTCATTGTGAGTTTCTCCACCCCATTTCTTACTCTGTGATTAACCCACAATCAAGAACTGACCATAGTTCCAGTGGAAAGACTTTGTTATAAGTAACAGATCCTGGGAACACTAAATAACATGGAAAACTTAACGTCTTGGATCACAAGAAGTCTGGAGGCAGGGCAGGGCCAAGATGGGTCCATTCAAGCAGTGCTGCAACACCCTCCAGAACCCGGTTCTTCTCTTCCAAGACTGCGGTCTGCAGCATGTTGCTTGTCCTGCATTGGCTGCCTCACGTCCCAAGGGCACTGCTGCAGAAACCTGTATCCAGAGACAGAAAGGGAGTATCGCCTCTTTAAAAAAATTTTTTTTCATGTTCTTTTTTACTGTATTTCTTTTTCTTTAGTTTATTTGACATATAGTTGATTTACAATGTCGTGCTGGTTTCAGGTGCACAGCAAAGTGATTCAGTTATACATACAAGAAACCTTTCTTACAGGTCCCTCAACATATTACTCCTAACATCGTATTGGCCCCAAATTGACTCACCATGTGCCCTCTGCTGAAAAAAATCAGTGGTCGGACAAGGAAATGAGCACTATTGATTAGGGCTGCTTGGGGTCAGAGAGAGGCAGGCCACTTTTGAAGAATGTGGCTGCCCAAAGTATGAACAAAATGTAGGGAGGAAGAGCGGCATGGCCGCCGCCATTCAACAGTGAGCCACAATGATGATCCACAGGGTATACCACTGCCACGTGTGTTTATAAGGATTCATAAGGCATATTTTTAAGATCCAATTTTAAGTTAATGTGCAAACCCTTCAGTTAATCATATAAAAATACCAACTTTGAACTTTGCAACCTGGAAATTTAGTATTACAAAGAGACGGGAGTAATAGTTCCTGTTATTTCTAAAGCTAGAAAAGTTACTTATGTAAATAACCCAGCCTTTAAAGGAAAAAGCTTTGAGGAATGAGCATTCATAGTCCGTTCCCAAGCAGTTGGCACGGAGTGATTTCTGTGTGGCTCCGCTGAGATCTTAGGATGGAAAGCTCCTCGATGGGTGACCCAAATGGGGTGGAGTGAGGGGTCAAGAGGGCCCTCCTAGGGGTGTGGTGTGGCTGTGGCAGAGGCCTGCTGTCCAGGTTGCCCAGTGAGCCTCATACCAAACACCTGGGATGTAGATACAGGGGCAGGGTGTAGCACATGGAGGAGTGTCATTCTAGAAAAGGAGTTCATTCTAAAGATGCTCAGATCCCTGTGACCTGGAGAACCAAACAAATGACATTCCTTCTGCTTCCTTCTCTGTCCTTCTCCTCGCAAAGCTGGTTCATGCTAAGAGGACAGATTTTAAATGTAACAGAGCACAGTCCTCCATGACGGGCAGAGCAGGAGACGTGTGGTGCCGAGACCCAATCCCAGAAGGAGATGAGTAAATTCACAGCCATGGAGCCACCATGCTGTCTTGGCTCCTTTCAGCTCTAGAGTGACTTACTTGTGGGACCGACTTTCTCGAACGATGAACATTTCCATACACTTGGTTCTCCTCTAGCGTTGGTTGGAAACTGAGTCTGTGGAAGAGGCAAAACCAGGACAAAGTTATCCCAAGTGAGGCCCTGGGGAGGGAGAGGCAGCCTGGAATATTGATTTCTGGTGGGGAGGGTGCTGGTGCTGCAGGGAGCCCCACCTGGGCTACGGGCTGGAGCCACCCACCTGTATCCCACACCCAGACCAGCTATACCGGAATCTCAGGCAGTGGGCAGAGAAGGATTCAAAATACCACCTCCATGTTCTTACAAATATTTCTCTCAGCATGTTACCTAAGAATTTTGTTCCTGGTACCACCTTGGGTAATGTCGTCGAGAGGGGTCACTGCTCCCTCTGCCTACATCCCCCATCCCAGATACCCTCTGTCTTGGACATGCTGTTGGAGAGGATGGGGGTCCTCAGAAGGCAGGTTTCTCCTCCGCTGCTCCGAGACCAAGCCAAGGACCAAAGGTGCAGACTTGGTGAGACCTCCAAGGCTGGTCTCCCCCATAGCCTTCCTGAGTGTCACAGTGGGGATCCCCTAATTGTCGGTTGTGATCTATAAGCAACAAAAACCTTTTTTAAAATTTTAATAATTTGGAAAACTGATTGCCTGAACAAGAGAGTAATTTTAACTGTTGGCCAGGAAAAATGACCCTTGTGAAAGTAGTGAATCATAAGAAAAAGGGAACATGGGGAGGTTTTTAGTTAGACTATATGCTCTAGAAAATACTTTGGAGAAGTCCATTTATTTGCACATCCTGTGAGTTGGAAAGACGTCAGAGTCTGGGTTTGCATCTGGCCATTCCACACCCTAGCCCAGGATCTTGATCATCTTACTTCCTTGATCCTTAGTTTCCTCATTCGTGAAATGGGAGGAACAGCAGCTCAGTTTGCTGGTGAGGACCATGAGTGCCAAGAACTCTCTTCACTTAGGGGAGCCAAGGATAATTGGCCCTGCATGAGATAACTCACAAAATCGCTTTGAGGATGGCACAGGTCTGCTGGCTAGTCCCACAACCAAAAAGCAGAAGTTTCTCTGGACAGCTCCAAGGTCCATGGGAGCCGTTCCCTGTCCAACACTCACAGCCCAAGCAAAAGGCATCCCTGCGCTAGGAGTCAGCCAAGAGGGGCTTGTCCCACTTGCCTTTGCTTGCTTTCTACAAAAGAATAATGCAAGCTCAGCCCCATCATCTAAGCTGAATAACTTGGCCAGAGTTGAGTGATAATCTCCCAAATTTAATGTCACTCTTGGGGTCACCAACTGACTTTCCAGTGTACCCCGACTGTCCTATACCAGCTAGGTAACCTTGGACAAGTGCTTTAACCTCTGCAATTCTTGATCCTCAATCATCTGCAAAACAAATAAATCAAGAGGGAGTGTAGAAAGCATTAGCACAATGCCTGGAACAGGGAAAGCACCTCAAACATAGGAATGACCACTACTAATGGTGTATGGAAAGAAAACGGGCTTAGCAATTACTTTGTTAATTTGACTAATAGTATACATTTTCAATATAGTACAGTTATATTTATTTAGAAAATAACCTAATTCACTCCCTCACTCTTCAAACTGGCCCTGCACCCCAGTAAATTCAAATTAGTGAGGCTTTTGTTACATTCATAGGGAGGCGGGGTTCACCCCTCCACTCTCCGCTCGCCGCCCAACCTGCTGCAGTCAGTGTGGTGTGGCTGAAGGGATCTGCAAGTATTCCCCCACATCTCCCAGTCCTGAGTCCCAGGATCCTGGGTCTTCAGTCACTTCTTAATTGCTCGGAGGTAAGGAAAGTAGTGGCAACGTGTCATGCCCTGGAATCCACCTCCACTGAACTTGCTCATCTTCTCCCACAGGCTGTAAAGCGATTCTTGAAGCAGGAGTGCAAGTGTCACGGCGTGAGCGGCTCGTGTACTCTGAGGACCTGCTGGCTGGCCATGGCCGACTTCAGGAAAACGGGCGATTATCTCTGGAGGAAGTACAACGGGGCCATCCAGGTCGTCATGAACCAGGATGGCACTGGTTTCACTGTGGCTAACAAGAGGTTTAAAAAGCCGACGAAAAATGACCTCGTGTATTTTGAGAATTCTCCAGACTACTGTATCAAGGACCGAGATGCAGGTAAGTTCAAAATACTTTATTCACAGCCCCTAATTCTTCCAACAATCGGCACGCCACAATTTACATGCAGTTTGGTATTTTTTGCCTGCCAATCCTGTAAGTGCAGCCTACTGCCTTCAGGTTCAAAGCTGAAGTTCTTTATAATTCATATTCAAAGTGCACAGAGAGTTCTTCTAAGCAACTGGAGGAACCAGTTGATAACGTACAGATTCTGGAGAAATGGGAACCCAACAAGAACGTACATGGCAAAAAGTTAAAATGTGCAGATTAGCAAAATTCTTTAGCCTGGACAGAATTCTAACTAGTGGACTGACGTACACAACCAGCGCCTTCCCTGTGATCCTGTCGCTGAGAGGACAGCTTTGCAATGTATCTTCCCCTTTAAATCCCACCTCTGTGGCTGAGGAAGGGGGTCCCAGGGCTTTCAGTTAGCCCTGTTCTGAAATCCGCCATACTTCACACTCCCTTGCTCTTTCCAGTGTGCTCAGAAGTTGCCAAATACTTGAAAGCAAGAATTCATCCCCACTGGCTCAGCTGTCGGTGAGCAGTGGATGAGGGCTGCGTAAGAGGCACTTCGTTTATTAAAGCCACACCCTTCCCTTGCCGACGGCACCTTCTCTGTCCTGAACTCACTCAGAGAGCAGCTCCGTCAGCCTCAGCACAGCTGTTGCCACCTGAGGGCTTTATCCCTGTGCTTTTCTCCGCCTCTCACCCCTTCTGGTTAGCACTGAACTCCAGGCTTAGCACAGTCTGTGCAAAGACTCCGGTACAAAATCAGAATGAGTACAAGTCTCAGTGGATAGGAGGTGATGGAGAGCCCACAGCCAACTTGGCTCAAGCCAACTTCTCAGACTTAGCAGAAGGCAAGGGAATTCATTACCAGGAAAAACATCCTCGAATTCAAATTCTGAGTTTGTTTTTCATTCCCAAGTAATTGCAAAGGAACCAGTAAAACAGTGCAGAGATCAGCAGCTCCTAACATAGGGTTTACTAAGAGGCAGGATTACCAGGGACTGTCGCAAGATGTCCAGAGCCTCTTCTTTGTCCCCGAGTGGTTGAATTCCCTTCCCGGTTTGATGAGCTAGTTCTTTGCAGCACTGGAGCGAGTCTGTACATGCAGCCTCTGGATTAATAACTGCTGAGCGAAAGGGCCAGATGCTGTGCCCCGCTGCATTCCTCACATGCTTGGGGACCTCTAACAAGTCATCCTACCTGTCAAGCCAGAGTTTCAGCAGAATCCCCAAGAAACCTGGGTGTCGATACAGGACTGTCCCAGAGGCCTGGGTCCCTCACTGCCATCAACTAGTTGCTTAACATCAGGCTCCTCAGACAGACATTGGGGCGACAACATCAGGGTCATTTTAGGAACTACGTATCGCCTCCTGTGTGCCAGGTACTGGGCTAAGATCATTGCACACATGGTCTTATTTAATCCTTAGAGCCGCCCTATGACATCAGTCCACTGGAACTGATTACTGAAAAAAAAAAAAGGAAAGAAAGAAAAGAAAAGAAAGGAAAAAAATGATTAAGAAGAGGGTGGTTCCTGGTTGATCAACACCCATCAAGAACCAAATTCGCATCTGATTTTTTGAGAGCAGATAAGCAGCCCTGGGTATCATCATCCCAATTGTATGGATGAGAAAAGTGAATGACCAGCTTCAGATCTCGTTGTTCTTGGAGGGGACTGGCATCCAGCTGTCTGACCCTACGGCCTGTGCTCCTGACCCAGACACTTTAGCTCAGCCCTACCTTTCTCCCAGGGCGTGTCTGTGGAAGGCCCCGGGAAGCAGAAACCTCGTTTCAAATGTAAGAGGACCTGCTGACCTAGGATGTCTTCTCTGGTTGTTTGAACTGAAGCACTTTGCACCATGTAGCAAACAGTTATGCTTATGACATTGAACTACCTCCTAGGTAGTCACTGAAATAAAGACCTCACTTTCCCTTCCCCACAGAGGAGGTGCTGGCTCTGATCCTTGCTGTCTCTTCGGGATACTAAGTTAGTTTTGCACACTTTGCTCTCTCTACTTCCTGTATTAGAGCACAGTTCTGTTTCTTGATCCTAAAATAGCAGACATAGCTGCAGGACCTGCCACATGTTAGGGCTTGAGCTACATTCTCTCAGTGAATAGTGTGGGTATGTTATTATCTCACCCAGTGGGAGATGAGACTGAGGCTCTGACAGACAGGTTATGGATTTCGCCCAAGGACTCTTGATTGGTAAGAGGTAGAGCAGGGACTTGAACCTGAGTCTCTCCACCCGTGTAACCATTTTACTCCACTTCCAAATGCACCAGCCATGAGGCACCCCGCTGCAGGTGGGGACTTTCTGAGGGGGGCTATATCCTTTATTCACTCTCTTATTTTATTTCTGTTCTACTTCAGGCTCATTTTAGCTTATTTATCTGACTGAAAAAGATATAAATTTGGTTCTGGCTTGGTATTGATTAACCAGGAGCCATCTTGTTATCTTACTTTTTTAAGTAGCCAGTTCCATTGTTTCAGACCAGATTTTTGCTAAGGTTCCTAGATCATTCATAAATTGTGTGAACTATATTTAATGCCCTTTTTAGCTAAGCCTGGGAAAATGCCAAAGTCATCCATGAAAATCTGCGGTATTTCTTTTTAATTCTGTTGACTATCAGATGGTTATTTTAGTGAAAATATGATTCAGGATGCTTGAGATGTAGAAAAAAGTTTGGAATGGTGACAGTATTTTTTCACTGTTCATATCTGGACAAATAGCATGTACAACCAGCACGCATATGAGATGCAGATTTGCCTCGAGACAGCCTCCTTCAACCCGTATAGTTCCTGAGGGCTTTTGTCTGTGTAAAGACAAGGCTTCCTCCTGGCCACTTTCTACTGGAAACTTCTGTAGTATGCACTCTAGCAAGTCAGTCAAACTGTGCAGTTCAGAATCTTCCTGGAGTAGCTCGTAACTTCTGATTGTGGAGACAGGGAGATGTGAGAGTCCGGGACCTGGGAGAAGGGGCTATTCCTGCATCTAACTCGGTGGCATTCCTCCTCTGAGCTCTAGCATCCTCTGGTCTGCGCTAGAGAGGCACCCAGCATGCGCACCTCGAGCGAGGACATCACCGTGGGGACTCCCCCTTCACTAGGATCTCACTATATCAGGAAGGGCCTGTTTTCTGGTAAATGAAACATATTAGAAATAGGTTACCATCAGAGGTATCTGGGCTCTAAAATAAGTCTGAAGGTTGCAATAAAATTTAAATCAAATGAATGTGACAAATCACATTCTCCATTAGAATTGATATTAACTTTTCCCTAGATTACATCTCAAATCACTCACTCTGCTGTATTGTGTTTTTTTTTCTTTTTTAAAAAGCATCATGTATATTTAATGTTCAACTAGGCACCTTCTCCTTGCCAGCACTTGGAAAAGCAGTGGTGGTGAGCAGGTTGAATATTGTCAAGTAACAGATATTTGGAATTAGCAGACTTTACTCTTGCTGGTCAGCACCTGCTTCCTGTTTACATCTGCTCATAATTTTACTGAAGTGAGCTGGCTTGTTTTGTCATTTTGGTTTGTGGAGTGGGTAAAGTCTGCAGGTCTAGTCCACTATTTTCCAAAGTGAGGGCCTCTTCAGAGACCTATTGAATCAGAATCTCAGGGATTTTTCCCGACATCCTGTATACTTTTCAAACGCAAGACATCAAAATTTGAAAAATCCATGATTTAGGTAGTCCAAGGTTCCTGATTTTTCTGTATTAGGTAAGAAGAATTCCAGAGAGACTTTTTTTTTTTAATGCTTGATCTCTTACAAAGGAAAATAAGTATTTTTTTAAATTTGAGGAGCTCTAAATAAATGTCACTCAAACATAACCCTGCCCTTACTTACCCATTGCAAGAGGGTGTTCTTTCACATTAAAGCCCTGTATTTTCTGGAACCCTCTTTCAGTGAGTAGCACACTGAAATGATTTCTACCATCAAAGCTCCCACTGGATTTAGCTTGATGGAAATCATCAAGTCGGGCTGTTAGTGAAGTCCTGAAATAATGATACCAAGACTAGTGAATTTGGGTGAGAAGAATTGCAGAAGGGTGATTCAAGACCCCAGGGTATTCCTGGGAGAGGACAGAGCCAGACCCCAAGCGAGGAAAGGTGATGGGAACCCTGGGTGAATTCCTCCTGAGAATCAGACCCTGGGCTACAAGTCTTATGTGCATTTTCTCTGAATCCGCATAACAATCACCCACATTTATAGAGAAGGAAACTGAGGCTTTGAAAAGTTAACTTGCCCAAGATTCCGTGGCCTGTGAGTGGTAAACAAAACAAAATAAATAAAAAATCAAAACAAAAATCTATACCTTTCTCAATTCCTGAAATGTAAGGAGGAAGGGTGGTGACTGGCAGGGCTGTGTAATAAAGAGGCAGCCCGAGGACATGAAACGTAATGGGATGAGGTGTCCACAATGCGAGGAGGTGGAAGGTGGAGAGACTTCACCCACACTGAGCTCAGGTTGCCTGGAAGCCCCTTTCAATTACAAGCCCTTTAAGTTTTCAAGGGTGTTAATGTCTTCAATTGTTCCTAAGAAATGATAAGCTCAAAAACTGATTAAGAAAGATTTTCTTATGGTAACAACCACCACAGAAGACATTTTCCCCTCATCTTCCATTGATGAAGGTGAGTGCTCTGATGTTCAACTATAAATACTCCCCGGAGTAGGTACAGCCGAGTGATGCCGTGCATGTGACATTCTGCAGGCCAAACTGGAGGCCAGATCGAGGAACTGGGCTTTCTAGGGTGGGTGGTTCTGTGGTTATCTACCATGGTTATTGCCCCAGGCATCTGTAAATCAAAGAAGCCCTTAAGGTAGAGATAGGTTCATCTCTAACTCAGGAATGCTGCTGTCCTCTCCAGAGAAGTGTCTGCACCTAATCACAGGCCACTTTCACTAGTTATTTTGTAAAAACCCTGACCTGGGCCAGAGGTCACCCTGAGGTCTCCTCTCTGACTGTAGAAAGCAAGCAATCCTCGCCTCTTCTCCAGTCAAGTTCAAAAAGCAAATGGAGTTCAACTATTGTTTAACTTGTTGCTGAAAGCCCGATGCAGGTTTCCCTCACTGTCTGGAAGTAGGGCGTTCCTATGAACCTTCTGTAAGCCGAAATGGCATAAAGCGAAGTGATTACCGTGGGACACATCTTGGTAACGGATACAGAAAATAAATCAAGATAAAGCACAGATGCTCACAGACCCAGTTCAAAGCTATAGTGCCTGATGCTGTGATGCTGAGTGCAGTTCCTGGAGAAGGGGCCACTCTTGCAGCTCAGGGGGTGAGCTGCCCCTATAGTAAGTAGCTCATTGCAAGAACAAACACTAAATGCTATTTTCACTTTTCACCTTTTTTATAAAAGCAAAAATTCTCTTCGGATTTCTTCCAGTTAGCAAAAGCAGGAACTAACGTAATCTTTTGTAAGAGTGAAATTGTGTAAAGTGAACTTTCTCAAAAATTGGGGGATACCGTGCTTGGCTGACAGCTGCAGACTGTGAATGATGTTAAGCACTCAGGTATCACAGGTTTTTTCCCACGTCAATCACGTTTAGCAAACAGCTCGGTAGCCATGGGAACACACCCCCAACCATGGTTTACAGAGGTTGGTGTCCGAGACCTGCCCTGAGGTGTGGTCTGGTTTGCAGAACCTCTGAACGTTGTGACTGTGACTTGACTAAAAACAAGGGAACGTGTCAGCCAATAGCAGCAGGTCGGCCTTATTTTCATACTAAACGTACAGTTCCCACCAGGATATCTTAGGTCCCTCGTGTCTTCATGGAACAAATATTTATTAAGTCCCTTCTATATGCCAGAAGGTACAATAAGCCCCAGGAATGCAGAAATGAGGTGGACAGACTTGGTCCTTGCGCTTGTGGCTTCATAGGCCTCCTGGTCCTTGCAGACAAGCCAGGTGGGTGGCGGGCAGTGGGACACAGGTTGGGTGCTCCCCAGCCTGGGCAGAAATGCGGTGTTCGTAAGTTTCAGTCCTCACTCCACTGCTCTATCACAAGGTTTTACCTTCCATTTGCCACTTAAGAAATGAAAGAATAAGTCATCCCTTTCTGTGTTGAGATTTATTATAGAAAATTCATGAACTGATATCTAAAAAGTGCTAAGACAGCACAGGAGAGAATAATATGAAAAATGTATTGGTGGGCTTTTAAGTCACTATTTTTATAGATAATCATTGATTATGTTGTATAATTACTTACTTTCTGGTGGACTGTCATTCCAAACTTTTAGTGGTATATAATGCAATTAGCCTGTCCCTCCCTAAACTACTGTTTCCTCGACCTCTGTAACACCACATCCTCCTGATTTCCCTCCTGCCCCAAAGACCAGCTAGCTGGTCTTTCTCAATTTCAGTTGCTAGTGTCTCCTTGTCTACTTATAAAGTTTGAAGACCTTCAGGGCCAACCTGAGCCCTCCTCTCTTGTCCCTCTGTGCTTTCTCCAGGGTGGCCTCCTCCGTTGCTATGGCGTTAAACAAGATGTCAGATCTCATCTGTCCTCTCTCCTCCTCTTGTATCTGACTCCCTGCTGAACAGCTCCACTCAGATCGCTCACACTTTTATCGCCCGAACTCTTGATTTGTCCCTTAATTTTTCCCTAAACCTGCTTTCCTTGGGCTTCCCCTTCTCAGAAAAGGCTCAGCCATCCACTCCATCAGTCAAGCCGTAAGCCCACAAGCTGTTTGTTACACTGCTGTCTCACTTCCATATCTGGCCCACCAGCAGGTCCTCTTAAAATGTATCGACGAACTATCTCAGAGAGCCTTGTTCTTTCACTTACAGCATGTGTTCTGGTTAATTTGTTTAAATCTTTGTTTGTTACCTGTCTGTCCCACTGGATTGTGATTCCATGATGGCAGGAACTTAAACTGTCAGTTCACCACTGGGCCCCTGACCTAGGATATAAATACATGTTGGACTGAATTGAATGGAAAGTTATAAATGACATAAAATATGCTCATCATATTAGCTGGGTTCTCATGCTGGTGTAGTGTCATAGCTTAAAGATAACTTGGGGTTTTTTTGACAGGTAACTACTAAGCACATCTTCACTCATCACTGATTACCTTATAATACACAGCCTATGAAAATTCCCATTTAAGCTTAGTTAAGTGTTAAATGGATTTTTCCTATATCCAAGTGCATTAGTGGGGCATTTACAGAGCTTAAGATATTTCTGGCTGCCCATTTCCCTGGATGAGATAAAAAGGTCTCAAATAAATGTACCAGCAGACTCTATCTGTTGCTTTTAGCCACCACCAAATACTCAGTTCTTTTACTCTTTGGGGGCCTTTTAAATTTACTGTTACCAGTGGGATTACTGGGTAGGTCAACTGATTTCATTGTTAACATAAGCAAAATACTTTTTACATTCAATGCTATTTTATGTTATAAGCACGATCTGTAAATCTACATTGCTTTTCAGAATATAGATTGTTAGAATTTCTACATTTTTAAGATACACTAAAAAGTACCCTAATTTGAATTAATTGACAATGGCAATCAGATTGAATTTATAAAAATTTTTAGAAGAATTTTTTCTTTCAAAAAGAAAATTTCAGAAAAATTTTTTTTCTTATTTTGAAGTCTTTGACATAATTTTAACTACTAACAACAAAGAATTTACCAGACATCCTTTATTTTTTTGAAAATAGTAAAAATGCATTTTAATTACCATAATAATATGTAGCAAACAAAAGAATGTTAAGGTACTTTAAAATAATCTATTTGCTTTATGTTTAAGCTTTCCTCATGAAACCTATTTTGTGCTGTGATAAATTCCCTTTTTAAAATATGCAAATTTCACACAAAGAGCCCTGCATTCTGCTACCTATTACTTTGGTGCTACCTCTTGCTATCTATTACTACTTCTACCTATCACCAGTTGGGTGGTTATGGACAAATTCTCTTGGTCTCTTAAGATACGTGTTTCACCTAGAAATTCCTAAGGTTCCTATGATTTAATATATGAATGAATGAATGACTTGTTCATTAATTTTACTGTAAGTTTGCAGTAACAGAACCTGAACTTGATGCCACAAACTCTTTCAAGTTGTTGAATTTCTTAAGTTGAATTTCTATGATTCAAAAATGTGCCACATTTCTTGTATATATTCTCTATTTGTTGAGTGAGATAATTTGAATAGAAACCAGGCTTTTAGCTAGTCTCTTCTCACCACAGTGCCTGTGGGGTTGGGTGACCCCCTCCCTGGAGAAGCGTGCCCTTATTTGGCAAGGGAAGGCTAATCTTAATTTTTAAGATACTGCTTTTAATTTAATATTTAATAAATCAGGAAACACATGTTGCCCACCTGAGCACTATGCAGTATGTAGAAGAAATATAAGACCTAACTCTGTCCTTGGGAGCAAGATGCAAGATAAATCAACAAACATTTCACAAGAGTATATGAGCCCTAATGCCCGACGCGCTAACATTACAGGACTTAGGAAGGCGGTTGAGATGAGCATGGAGTGGACAGGGAGCACTCTGTGAAAGGTGCCAAAGCAGGCTGGAGTCTTGAAGGATGGGAAGACATTCGGTCTAAAGGACTGAGAGGAAAGTCCAGTGCAGCAGATGAGAGTAACGGTTATGAGCAAACAGTCTACGCGGCTGTGACATCAGAAAGTCACTTCGGTGGGACAGTGAGGAGATGGCCTGATCAGAGGGCGCAGGTAGAGGGCAGTGGGAAATAAACTGGGGTAGGCTACTTAGTGCCAGATGTGGAAAACCTTGAAGAGCTGGACCTCAACAACTTTAATTCCAGGAGAGGATTTGCTATTTTAATGGGACATGCTTTCCTGTGTCAGTCAAACCTTTCCTACTTATTATGAAAATGTGGAATAAAATCCTCTGAGATAAGTGGAGAGACATTGCCTTTCCTCACTTTAGCTTTGCAAACCTTAGTGTGAGGAAGGGGAAGCCTTCCAAGTAGATGAATGTGCGGTCTCTAACATTTGCTTTTTAACATTCTTTTCTTCCCTCGATAAATCTGCGTCGTGAATGACAACGTGTAAGTCAACCAGAGGAGAAACAGCCTATTGGATGACGGGCTTAAGTGAATCTTGCTTTATGCCCTAATGGTCAACATATGGGCCTCTGTCAGCCGGGAGTGGCAGGAATTTCCAAAGATACAGGCCCATCCATGGAGGGAGAGAGAGCGCCCTTCCTCCAGGTCCCAGACGTGTGGGTCTGGGAACTATTAGCAAAAGCCCTCTGTCCTCCTCTGCTGTCAGGAAGATGCATGTCAGTGGAGACAGAAATGTTTTCACACTGGGAACCCTGACTCCATTATTAATTTTATAGCTCCAGGGATGGGATGCTTGATTCTGTAAAGTTCCCTCAGCATTGCCCCACCAAAGGTGAGTTATGTGGTCCCAAACTTATGGGATATAGAAACTCTGATTCTTCATCCTTTTCCCCACACATACGTGAGCTCTTGTGTGAGTCCAGGCGAGGACAACACCTGTGGGGTTCTAGCTGGAACCCACACCTTCCCCTGGGTACAGACGGCCCAAGTCTCACAGACATAGACTCTAGGTAGATGATCTGATGACAGTGTGGTGTGAGGATACTAGAAGGTGGGGCACTCTGTCTGGGGCCTGAGATCTGAACCCAGGCCAGCCACACGTCTGGGCACACTTCACAAACCTAAAGCAAAGGGAAGTCAGGGGAAAAAGCTTCCAACTTGTCACTTCTCTTAAGTAAACTGAATAAATCAAAGCATAGTAAGAGAAAACAGTCTAATACAATATAAATAATCTTTTAAATAAACATGTTAAATCAGAAGCATCTAAATATGTGTTTATCCTTTTAACACATCAAGTTGGGAGACTAATATTAGGACCATTACTCAAAAACATTTAAAAAATTTCTTTTTTGACGTATTTTCAGAGCTAGCCACACAGGCTTTTGTAGATATTGTATGATGCAAATATTTGACCCATAAGGATCAATTTGGTTTTTGGAAATGGCTTAGAGAATCTTGGAATGAAGTCTGGAGGGCAGTTAGGCAAGTGATCAAGCTATGTCACTTCATTTTGGTGAGATCAAATTGATGCTATGAGCTTCCCCGAACCAGAAAGTTCTACTTAGAGACAGCTCTTCCCAGAGTCTTCAGTCGTGGTCACATCAGTGACATACATTAGAACCACCTTGAGAGCACACACGTTTTAGAGATGCGCATCCTGGTGTTGCAAAGTGATCAGTCTGCCTTCCTCCTCAAAAGGTGATAGGAATTATCAGTACAAGAAAAATGCAGTGTAAGCTACAAACACCATGTCAGCCAGCCCTGTTCACTTTCTCCCACAACTTTAGATGTCTTAATTGTCTAAGGCATATCTTGTGCTGGAGGAAAAGGTCCCCTCCAAAAGAGTTGCATGTCAGGATCTTTGCAAGATCTTCATTTGATAAAATAATGAAGGCAAGAACAGGAAATATGCTAAAGCAATGATCATGTACTGTTACACGTGAGCCTGCTTTCTGGGGCCTGTGGGACATGAGGCTGAGGATGACAGCGGTCAAGAGCTCCCTCTCTGGAGTTGGACAGGCCTTCTCCAAATCCTGACCCTGCCACCTGCTCGCTGTGTGATCTTGGGCAATTCACTTAACCACCCCGACCTTCCATTTCCTCATTTCCAAAACAGTGATGACAATAGTCATATAGGCACTTATGAGAGTTAAATGAGATAATGCCAACAGAGGTTCATCACAAGGCCTAGCCTCTGTACGTGTTTCATAAATATTGGCCCCAGTTATGAGCAAAAAGGAGAGAAAGAGGATGTAAAAGAAGCGGGTGGGTGAGGGGGATGGGAAGAAAAGAAAGGATGGATGAACTATGCTCTATCTGGCTTCAAAAATGTGAAAACTGGCCCTTCTGGGCTTAAGCGAAGTGTAGCTGGTTTTATTTCCCCAGGGGCTCTTGTTGTGGCCTTGGCAGGGTTATCAGATCATCTACTGAGTGACTCGTGAATTAATAAGTTGGTATATTATTTAGAAAAAAGAACTGAAAGTATGTCCCAAATATTCATAACTAAACAAGGGCTAGATCACAAAACTTAGTGGCTCTTTTCAAAAAGAGCATGTGAGCACACACACACACATCTACACATACACACACATATACATATACACACAACACACACATTTTACACATATACACACATACACATAAACACATATATACGCATCCACACATATACACATATATACATACACCACAACACACACACATGCACACACAGTACACACACACATACATGCATAGTCTTGATTCTTTTAAGAATAATGGTGATGTTTTCTGTCTTGGAAAGGCTAATGGGAAGCTCCTAAGACAGCAGGGCCCTATTGCTATCAATAATATTGAGTCCTCACTATAATGTCCATAAAGGAAGCAATACCAATGAGTTTCCTGTAGCTCCTGCACTCTGGAAACACTCTTCAGGGTTTTGATAAAATGGCTCTATATTCTACTCAAAAGACAGCAAGTGTCAAAACTACCCTTCCTCCCTGCAGTCTGTCATGAGATTTAACGAGATCCAGACCCCAAAGCAGGGCCAGTTTGTGGTCCATCGCCACACAGCCTCATCCTCCCCCCTCAGTTCCCCATCCTGGTGCTCGGATCCCTCCAAGGGGCCGTTACTGCTCCTGGCGGCCCTCAGCCTTCAGAACCCCTCTCATCTTCCTTCTCCTGGGCCCTCATTACACCCTGTTTGACGGCCGGTGGGGAGTGGGGTGTCGGGTTAACGTTGTACCCCAGAGTTCTGGAACTGAACCCCGAGCTGTTGAGGCATCTCATCGCCAGAGTCTTTGTCTCCTTTACTGAAACCAGTTCTGAGTTCAGCTCCCGCTTTGTCTGCCCCGCTCTGAGTTTTGACAATGTCGTGGTCACCTCACTGA